CTGCTTGTGTTCCCTCTCTCGCTGTGTCTTTCTCTGTCAAATAAATAAATAAAATCTTTAAAAAAAAAAAAGAAGAAAACATGACTACATCTGAGCTCCTGTTCCATGTATTTAGAACATTGTCCAATCATTCAAACTCCAAAGAGTTAAAAAACGGAGAGAGAGAGAGAAAGAATGAACATTTCCTTTTATAGTAAGACTTAACCCATTGTGCTTTTAAATATTGGAGGAAACTGGGAGATGCTTTAGTTAAGCAAGGTTACTTAAAATGTTCAGGCTGTTTTGACACAAATATCTTTTGTGATATTTTTTTGACCATCTTTTGTCCTTTATTTAATTGCTCTTGGCTATCTTTTACTAAGTGATAGTGATCAGTCTTACGTGTAGAACCCTGAGCTGTAACCACCTTTGTCATAGAGTTATTTAAAAGTACATACTTCTTCCTTGTAGGAGCAAAAATCCAGCAACAATTGGCCAAAATACATAACAATGTAAAGAAACTTCAGCACCAGTTAAAAGATGTGAAGCCTACACCTGATTGTGAGTGAATTTAGATTTCTGTTCTGTCTTATGTATTAGTATTTGCTATTGCTCATTAGAAATATTTATATACTCTCCTAATAAGTGCTTTTTTTTCCTTTGGCCTTAATGGAGCCAGGCCATAATGTATTGGTTAGGGATCAGGAAAGATACATTAATAATTAACTGTGACATGTGGAATTTATGTAGTTGCTTTACCTTTAAAATGCTATCACATCCTCACAAATTATGAAGTTGATTGAACAGAAAATAGTGTCATGTACAGGATGGAACCTCAGGTATGGAGGAGTTCAGATTCAGCTAACGAAGAAGAAAAGAGGGAATTTCCTGATTCCCAGCCTTGTGCTTTTCCCACCATTTGCTTTTTGAAATAATTGCCTTTCAAATAATTACATTTCGAATACATAAGGAAAAGGTTAATAGTATTGGGACAAATGCTAGCCATTTGGAAAAAAAGGAAATGGCGTCCTTACCTCCCTGCGCACACCAACATTCATTCCTGAAGGATCAAATCACTTATTAGTTATGTGATTTTAGGCAAATTACTTGGTCTCTCTGAGCTTTTATTTCCTTGACTGTAAAATGGAGATAATCGTAGGACCTCCCTCAGGATTCTTGGGGAGATGAAGTGAGACAATGCATATAAAGCACCTGTCTAATGTTTATAACTTAGGAAGCACTAAAAAATGGTAACTATGACTATCCTAATTATTATTTATTAAATTAATACATGAATTCATAAAAATCCTAGAAAAGAACATGAGTTCATATTTTTATAATTGTATTCTAGTTTACAAGAATGACAATCAGAAGCCATAAAGCCAAGGGCGCCTGGGTGGCTCAGTTGGTTAAGCAACTGCCTTCGGCTCAGGTCATGA